CACATTCTCTTTCATACCTAGAAGTACTGAGTATTTACCAGGAGCTCAGACAGAGCAACAGAGTGAAGGAGGGGGAGCACATCGAAAGTGAGTATCACAGAGAGAGATTCTTTTTTTCCTTTTGTCATAAAGGTTTTACATGAATGAATAAAAGCTGATCATTTTAAGCTCCCCTGTCGGTGGTAATTGGTTTGTCTAAACCTGCGTTCACATATATGCGGTGCGGTATATAGCATGTGATTTGCACAGGAACCGCACCGCATTCCTGTGTAAATCACATGCGATTTGTGTGCGATGCAATTGGAGCCATACATTTTGTATGGGTCTTATCGCACCCGCACCAAAAAGGTGCAGGACCCTTTTTTGGGTCCGCACTAGAATTGGATCGCATGGGTATTCACACCAATGCATCCAATTCTGCACATTGCACCGTGTTTTGCGGATTGCTTCTGTTAACTTAACATAGACACCCGCAGCGATTCGCATGAACGGGGTGCGATTCTGATGCGGTGCGGAATTCGCACAGAAAACGCTGCGAATTGCGCACAGCATCAACGTGAACCAGGGCTCATACCTGTAACTGCAAGAGAGTTTTTCTGTTGAAAAACAACAGACTTACTGGCTGGATCACCAGGTTATTGTAGAAGAAAAAAAAGGCCTAAAAAAAGTTAAATAATGCAGCCATCATCTAACACTTGGTAAGCAATAAAATAAATGTTTGCTATTGGGTTTAATACTGCTTTAATATCTATAGCCCTGTGCAGTGAGAACATGGATTTAAAAATATATATATTTCAAATCCAGTAAGAAAAGAGGTATGCAACCTTTAGAATAAAAGATTATCTGTTAGATCATCTCTAAAGAGGAAAAAAAAACGAAAATAAAACATGATGAAAATAATTTAACTCTATATAGACAGTAATTTATTGTGCTCTATAAAGATTTAGATCAGAAAAGAAAATAGGGAATTGCTACTGGCGGGTAAGAGTAAATTGACATTTAGGACTCATGCACACAGGACATTTTTGCATCCACTTTTAGTAAGCGTCAGGGAACTTTTTTTTGCTGCTGCTTCCAAATGGCCCTCCATGTTATCCTATGTGTCCATGCACACATAGACTTTTAGAAGCCTGTAGTAGCAGTAGGATTTACCAACAGGAAAAAAAACAGGGCCAGTGCTTCCAGGTGTAGTAGTGTTTTGGCTTGGTGCATGTAAATGAGTGTTAGCGTGCCTAAACAGCATGTTAACGCTCGGCGCACATAGCACTTGAGCGTAAATTTACCGTATTTTTTCGCTCCATAAGACACACTTTTTTCCCCCCAAAAAAGGGGGGAAAAATGTCAGTGCGTCTTATGGAGCGAATATAAGGCGGCCGGTCTGGTATTTTTGCGGCCACCATGTCAGAATACCGGGCCGGCCGCTTAGCTGTTCTCTCCTGCAAGGCCTTACCTGTTCCTCGCTCCAGCGCTGCACAGTCTTCCCGCGCTGGCTTCTGTGACAGCTGGGTGCCCACTGCGCATGTGCTGTGCTTTGTGAATAATCTGGTGTCTTCTGGGACACATGAAAGGTCCCAGAAGGCGCCGGGCCATTCACAAATCGCAGCGCTTCTCGCACATGCGCAGTGGGCACCCGGCTGTCACAGAAGCCGGCCCGGGAAGAAGAGGGAAGGACAACTCCGCGGAAGTGGGAGCGGGTACCTGTCAAATTCAGGTACCCGCTCCCCCTCCCTCCCCAAAGGTCAGCAGTCTCTGGTCATTCCCTTCACTGTCTGCAGTCTCTGGTCATTCCCTGCACTGTCTGCAGTCTCTGGTCATTCCCTGCACTGTCTGCAGTCTCTGGTCATCCCCTGCACTGTCCGCAGTCTCTGGTCATCCCCTGCACTGTGTCCGCAGTCTCTGGTCATCTCCTGCACTGTGTCCGCAGTCTCTGGTCTTCTCCTGTACTGTGTCCGCAGTCTCTGGTCTTCTCCTGTACTGTGTCCGTAGTCTCTGGTCATCTCCTGTACTGTGTCCGCAGTCTCTGGTCATCTCCTGTACTGTGTCCGCAGTCTCTGGTCATTTCCTGTATTGTGTCCGCAGTCTCTGGTCATCTCCTGTACTGTGTCCGCAGTCTCTGGTCATCTCCTGTACTGTGTCCGCAGTCTCTGGTCATCTCCTGTACTACGTCCGCAGTCTCTGGTCATCTCCTGTACTGTGTCCGCAGTCTCTGGTCATCCCCTGTACTGTGTCTGCAGTCCATTGGTTCAGAATATTTTTTTTTCTTGTTTTTCACCTCTAAAACCTAGGTGCGTCTTATGGTCAGGTGCGTCTTATGGAGCGAAAAATACGGTATTTCAAGCCAGAGTAAATGATTATTCTGGCCAATTAAATGAATTAAACGCTCAAGTGTTTGACGCCTGTAAATGCACCTAAAGGCTTCTAAAAGCGTTAGACACTTTGACAATTGTTAGGTGTTTTTTTCTGCCAAAATGCTGCTGCCAAGAGGAGCAGTGATTTTAAAAGTCCTGAGTGCATGAGGCCTTAGGTTGCCTGAGCCTGCCTAATGCCGGCCATAGACGGGTCAAAAAACGGGCGAAAAAAAAATCTGTTAGTGGGTTAATTGGTTGGCTGTTTTCGGGTTTTTTGCAGTTTTTTTATTGGTCATGTTGGAAAATTCGCGGCCGATTTTGACGATTTTGGCAATGATGGGCAAATCGGATGATCGTTTTACCGATAAAAAATCCATGCATGAGCCGTGACTTGCAAGGGACAGAAGTTATGGGGTGAACTTTATGATTTAGTCGGCCGATTTTGTTTACCGTTGGTGGTAATGTCAGCCAACCGAACGACCGATTTTTCTGTTTTGTTTTTTTTTAATAAATCGGACGATTTTCAACCCGTCTATGGTCTGCATTAGAGTGCTCATAGCTGCACTAGAGATTTCCCCTAGAGCTTAGTGAATGTGGTGAAATTTCACTTTGCAACGAGTACCCCATCATGTACAAAGAAAATTTAAAAAAATGTATTTTTGCTTGCACAGGATAGGATGATGTAAGTCAACAGAGCTTCACCTCATTCCCTAAATGATGGGGTAAATTACCATGCAAAGTGAAACTTCCTTTGCAAAGTACAACTTTCCTTGCAAGGTGAACAGTCAATTTGTTTTTAGTAAAAAAAAACCCCTCAAAGTCACAGCAATGATTCCTGCAGGTACACAATGAGCAAGTGGTCATAAGCCACTTCGATGAACCTCCTTGAAAAAAAGATTAAGGAACCACTCCTTTCAGGCTCTGGTGGACCTAAGCAGGTAACCCCCAGTAGATCTTGTACCTTATCAGTGGGGTTATGTATCTAGCACTACCCCACAGGGGCCGCATAATAATGCTTGTCCCCATTGGTTGCCCTGACTTTGCAGGCCTCCCGACACCTCTGACACTCTGGGTTCAGATATATTTCAACAGTATTCTATAGTAACACCTCTATATTAAGCTCATTCAGAAGAGTAGACCATAGAATGAACGTTTAGGAGGTACAGCCCCCAAATTAATGCATAAAAGCAAAATACTGATAAAATGGAAATAACCAATTAGCAATGGTTAACAGATTATACAGTCACAAATGGTATGTTGTAACTATGTAACTGCAACACCAGCAGCGGGGGTGGGGAAGGCTTGTTATCTTATCAGCTCCCTTTGGGCCACTGGTGCCACAATAGCGAATGCAAAGAATCATGTAAATATACATGTACACACACCCTAATTTGAATAATGATGGCTTAAATGAGAAGAGGTCCCTTTAATTAAAAATAGCAACTTGAGTCCTGAGATGTTTAAAGTTCCTGATGTGATAGTAGCCATTATCTTCTTCTAGTAATGGTGGGACCTATATGCAGTAGCAAGTAATGATAATTCAATGAAGATAACAGGTAGGCTGTAGTAAATGCTCAAAGCAAAGATCTCTTGGTACTGAGGTAGAAAGAAGTCTACATGCAGTGTCCATAGAGTGTTGTCAGAGTGCTCACCAATCCCATGGATAGCACAGCCTCCTAGGAACATGGTTCTTGCACAGACTCTTGGCTGTTGGCGGAGAGACATGCAAAGTTACCACCTAATAACCTGTCAGTGCAGCAAACAGAGATGATTGGCTGAAGACTGAATAATGACAGTCCTAATGCAGAGAAGCTGATATGATCTCGGTGTGGCAATCAGCATCATCGTCGTGCTGAACTGGTATGCGGAGTCCCGCAGTAATAGCCAGCAATCTGTCTCTGGAGGAGAACGGAAGTCCCCCTGTGTTCAGCTTTCAGTTCTGCACCCAGAGAGCGAGCCAGTTCCTTGCTGTAGAATGCCATCTCTTTTCCCCAGCTCTCTGGTAGTTGTAGTTCAATCAGCATTCAGAAATGCAGTATATGTTAGTTATAGGACTGCAGGTCCAGAGATCCTCTGCTGTCAGAAGAACTGGATCCACTCTGCTAACCGGATGTGATGTAGCAGTCCCAGTACTGGGCACTAGGGGGGACAGGATTAACCATAGTCTTGTCTGTAAATGTCCCTGAATGACATAAAGATATAGCAAGCACCAGGCTACATATACATATACAAAGAACTTTACTGGAGGATTTTTAATTTTATAGTGGGATTTAAAAAGTTGAAAAAGCACCAAGCATTTACTTATCTTTTTATGAAGCATATTCTAGTTGAGGTGGGAGGGTTATTTGACTGTTGCCAACATGTTGTTGCCTGATTCTAATATGTTAGGATTCATGAACAGTACGCAAGTAGCCCTGCCGCATGAGATCCTGGTGATTAGGCGCAGAGGTAAAGCATAGGCACATCATTCAGGCCCACTACCAATTGCCTGTTAAACTCTATGAGAAGCAGATGTTCCTGTGCTGAACAGTGCTGAGTGATACTAACATTTAGGGCATTTGTCCATGAGTGCATACTGCGCTAATTGTTAGTGTCACTTATTTCACTGTCCAGTCCCATCCAGCCACAGCAGCTTTCAGCCCCTCATGGACTTTAAACTCCCTGGCGGTATTCCCGAGTGTAGCTCGGGGTAAAGTTTCGGCACCACAAGCGGTAACCCCGAGCTACACTCGGGAATACCATGCAGCGTTACTCCGGGATCCCTTCTTCACTTACCTTGTCCTTCGCTCCCGCGATGTCCCTCCTGCAGTGTCCGCTGTAATGTCCTCCGGCGGATGCCGGCATCTGTCTTCTGGGTTCCGTTCCCTGCGACGTCGGGACATACGGGGATGCACAGTGTAAATGTTGCAATAACGCATGGGTAATACGGGAAGCAATATGGGAATGGTGCATTATTGATAATATGATATTTTGAGACGTTATGTTTATGGAGCACAATTCATGCACAGATATGGTTATTTAATCATATTATTTTGTCACACAGCAAGATTTATATATATTTATTCATTTTTGTTTATATATTTAGCCTTATTTGTGATTATATTATTGCGCTGCATTCTTTTGTATAATATTATTTGAATGTGGGAACACTTTACATGTTAACTGCAATATTTGTTAGATAGGTATATATATATTGCACTGTAGGTATTTCACATATTATTTTGTACATACATGACAGTTTTCTAGCACAGACATGGCCTACTCTGAATACTAGTGTACTTCTGTTTGCCAGTTCAGAGTTGGTCTTAATTACCACCAGTTTCCTAAATGGAGAACTGGCGGTAATTTCATGGAGAATTTGTTCCTGCCATAGCGATAGTTTTTTAAAGTGACAGTAGTTCAGTGTTACCAACCTTTCATAATTTACAGTTTGTAAAAAACAGGCACTTTTCTTTTTTGCATAAATGTCAAAACACAGGAGAAAAGTTCCCATAAAAATCAATTTGTCACCACGCTCTGAACTGTACATGCGCAGTCCCAGAATCAGCTGATGGATGACCTGCCAAGCTCAGCCTTGGATCAGGCAGCGGGACTGGTCTGGGTGTGCACCTGCGTGGTGATATCATAGCGCACATTGAGTGTAGCTTTTATTCACACACCCTGCTGTCCGACCAGAGGCCAAGCTCAGTAGCTCCCAGCAGTCACCCGCTACCACACCAAGGTGAAGATGTGAGTAAGGGGGCACACCACTGACTAATATAAGGGGCCACTCTGGGAGCACTGACTGATGTAAGGGGGTACTCTGGGCACAATGATGTAAGGGGGGACTTTGCAGACTCTAATCTATAAGGAGTATGCTGGGGACTTTGATGTAAGGGAGGACTCTAGTTTGAAAAATGCTCTTATCCCAACTGCACCACTCCATATGTTGTTTTGTTTGTTACTTACTGTTGACACCTGTACTTTATACTATATGTTATATATAGCACTGACCAAGGTGTTCATTGTCTCAACGGTTGCTGGTTTTAATGTTTTTCTTTAAGGTAGGCTCAGTAAGGGCTTGTTCACACTAGGCTGTTTTGCCAACGCTTGCCAAACGCCCCCATAGCGTTTGGCAAGCGTTGGTCCGGCGTTTGCGGAGCGTTTTTTAACGCTCGGAAAACGCTCCGCAAACGCCGCATGCGCAGTTTAGCGGCGGTTGCTAGGCGTTTGCCGAGCGTTAATAACGCCCCACAAACGCCTATAATGCAGTTTGAGTGGTGTTACCGCTCCGCAAAACGCCCCGCAACCGCGTCGCAACCGCACCGCAAACGCCGGCCGGGCGTTTGCGGAGCGGCACCATAGACAAGAATAGGAGGCTTCAAAGCCTCCTGACTCGTCCAGAGGCGTCCGTTTTGCCGTGACGCAACGCGACGCGACGCAAACGCTCCCGTTAGAACAGCACCATGTGCTGTAATGTGCAGAATTGGCAGAGGCGTTTGGGAAGCGGTAAAACCGCTTCCCAAACGCTCTCTGCCGCCTGCACACAAGGCTAGTGTGAACGTAGCCTAAGACAAAACTATACTGTTGTGTTCATAAAACATATGTAATAGAAACATTTAATTAAAAAAAAAACAGAGATCCTTTGTTCTGAGGTTTATTTGTGTATGTGAGACTGTCAGTTTTGATAGTAATTAGTATTCTGTGGGTACAAAAAACTATGGTATATGTGTGCAGTGTATACAGCAGGCACATATTCTGTTAATTCCTCCTTTAGGACTCTCCCACTGGCCATGGCAATTGTTCACTCTCCAGTACAGTCTGACCTCACCAGGTGTCCAAATCACACCTCACATCTTTCTAGGGAAAAGGTCCTCAGTTTCTTTGATTCTCTGAGTTCTCACTTGATTTTGGTAAGCCAAGAAAGGGATCTGTTCTTTCAGCAGCAGCAGCTCAATCTCTTCCCCACACTCCTGCTTGTTTGAAGAAAGTCTTCCATTTTTTTTTCCTCAACAGCCCACTTCAACTTGCTTTGTTGGATCAGCCATTCATCATCCTCTAGGATGAACCAGAATTAGCCAAGATGGCTGCCACCTTCACTGAAGACACTCCATAGATGAGCAGTGCAAAGTGGTCTCCTTAAAGATGGCTGCAGCAATTCTGCATTTATGAATATTTAGTTTAACCCTGTCCACACTGTAGAAGAATAATATAACAGTAACAAAGGAAAAAGTTCCACAGCAGTTGCCAGCTACAGTGCAGATTACACACTTTTTTCAATTAAATATCCTGAATCCTCTAACAAATGCCTTGTTTATAATTTAGGTGCCCACCTGGTGCTGCACAGCCTCTATAGCCAGAAACAGTAGAAAAATATACTTTCCACTGAAATGCATGTGCTAATGCAGTGTCGGGGATATCAGATTTAACCTCCTTGGCGGTATTCCCGAGTGTAGCTCGGGGTAAAATTTCAGTATCAAGAGCGGTAACCCCAAGCTACACTCAGGCTTACCCTGCGGCGTTGCTCAGGGAGTCCCTGCAGCACTTACCTTGTCCTTCGCTCCCGCGATGTGTCCCCTGCAGCGTCCCTGGCCATCTCCTCCGGCCAATGCCGGCATCTGGCTTCTGTGTTCCGGTCCCTGTGACGTCGGGACATACGGACGTCGGCGGCAAATTTGAAATTTTTTAAAAATTTCATTTTTTAAAAAAATGATTATTATATAGTAAAACATTGCTGTTTCAATGCATTTCACATATATTTTGTCCCTACTGCTTTGTCCTGTGCCCTGCCTGCATTTTGACTGTTCTTTCTGCCTGGAAACTTAGAAAAGTCCATGGCGTCCAAAAAGCGTCCCTTTATGTCAAAAGCAGTTTTAGACCGGCTAGAGAACAGCGATAGTAAATCAGAACCACTTGCAGAATTGAGTGGTAATGATTTCTGGGGAAATTCGTCATCAGACACTGAAAATGATTTTGCGACTTTGCTCAGTGATGTGCGAATTTGCATCTGTATTTCAAATTTCAGTGTTTTTTGGTTTGATTATATTATCAAATTAAATATATTATTATTATATTATTATTTTTTATGATTATTTATTAAATTATAATTTATGATTTCGTGTTTCAAGTTTTATCCTACCCGAGATGTTTACTAGACTCTTGTTCGGACAGATTTCAGAGAGTTATTCCTAAAAATTACAGCCTACAATAAAAAACAACATATTTCCATGCAAAAAAAATGGTACCGCTTTCAGCACAAAAAATCGGAAATAATCATACCGCCAAGGAGGTTAAGCCAAAGGCTGTTGTGAGCAGCATTGCAACAATAGAACTGATTTGATAAGTATTTTATATGCTCAAACTGTGGGCCAATGAAGTTGGGGTTACAAAGGACAAATACACTCAAATTGCACCTATCATATGAGGTACTATCCTACAACATGAAGTCCAATTCTCTTTAATTCTAGGATAAAATGCCTTTCACATTGTTAAACCAAATTATTTTTTTTAAGACAACAGTGTTCTTACATAGCTTACTTGCTAAGTAGAAAAAAAATATTTTTTGTCATGGCTCCTGTTGACACTTACCCAATGCCTCACCTGCAATTTCCTGTGTTGTTCCTCCTCTCAGGCTTCAATCTCAACTAACCCACAAGTGCACACCACCTAGTAGTTACGTTAAATCTACCATTAAGTGATCCAAACACGTTCCCAATTTAGTGGTTTAAGGTAATACTACCCTGGAGAGTTCCACAACCATGTGCTCACACAGTTCTTTTCTATTCCTAGGTCACCCATTGACAATGTTTCTAAGTGCTTTATAAGAACATTTTCTGCTTCAGCAAAATGGCTGAGCAAATAGGTTCCTAGCATCTAAGAGCCCCAGTGTTTAGTGTATAGCTTGCTTGTGATTACTATGTCTGCCTACCATCAGCCCTGACCTTTGGCCTATCATTGACAATACATCTGAATAACTGTTTTGGAACTTTCATTTGGTTTGTACTCACTGACAGCTGTCGTGAGTTACGACTAGGATTTGGGGAGTCCATAGTCCAACTCTTCTTGTGGTATATCCCGGTAACAGGCCCGAATCTGATCTGGGGGTGCAGTAAAGAAAAGTCAGGGGGCATGATGTCAACATTGTGTGTGAGTCATTGACAGTCTGTCACATAGTGTTACAACCTGGGAAACACTAGTAGGTATTAGGCTGACATTAGATTAAGGTGATTAAACAGAATGTGTGCCCCCTTATATCAGGTGTCGTCACTATCAAAGTCCTCCTTTACATCAGGAGTCCTCATCAGAGTCCCTTATTACATCAGGGTCCCTATCAGAGTGCCCCCTTACATCACAGTCCCTATCAAAGTGCCTCCTTGCATCAACTGTTCTCATAGAAAATGCCCCTTAAGTCTAATGTCCCAGCAGAGTGCCCCCTTGCATCCAGTAACCCCATCAGAGTGCCCCCTTACATCTCTTGTCCCCATCAGAGTTCTCCCTACATCAGGTGTCTCCATCAATTCCCCCCTACATTAACTTTTCCCATGAGAGTACCTCTTTACATATTATCATTTACCCTATCAGAATGCCCACTTTCATTATGTGTCCCCATCAAAATGCCCCTTACATTCGGTGTCCAAATCAGAGTGCCCCTTTACATCAGGTATCCTTAAAACCTCTTCACGCCGGCAGCACACAAATGTGCGACCTCCCGGCGTCTGGGCCGAGACACCGAGCGGCCGCACATTTGCGTGCAATTAACAAAAAACATATGTGCTGAGAGCGCGCACCCTGCGCGCTCCCAGCACACATGTCCAGTACTCACGGAAAGGTCCCGGTCTGCTCTTTCGATCGGGACCTTTCCTGATCATGTGACAACGCGTCTCGGCGGTCACATGATCCCTAAACCCTGCCCGTCCCGCCTCCCGGCTTCTGAAACTCTTAAAGGGCCGGGATGGGCGCCGGCGGGAAGGGGTTAATCACAGTGATCCCTTACATGGATTTTCCTAATCAGAGTTCCCCCTTACATCAGGTAAGTCCCATCATAGTGCCCCTTACATTAACTGTCTGTATCAGCGTGCTTCCTTACCTCAATTCCCCCATAAGGCTGGCTCATGGATGCACTCTCAGAGACCTGGGGGGGCTCAACTAAAATCACAGCCCACCCCAGCACCCCCCTAGATTTGGCCTTGCAAGATCTTCCTTTGGTTCTCACATTTCTAGGTAAGCCTGCACTATCTGCAAAGGATCCAGCGAGTATACTATCATGCATGGTCTGTGACAATTTTATTAGCTTTTTTTTGGAACAATGGGGTGGACTCTTTGAAACACTTGGGCCTTTCCTGCTGCCGCAGGGGTAGGTTACTCAATCTTTGTAACAACTGAAATGTTTCATTGGGAAATTACCCCACTAGTTTAGGGAGCTATCAGACTTATTATTATTATTTTTTTTTATATTTCAGGTACTTATATAGCGATGTCAATTTACACAGTGCTTTACATATATATTGTACATTTACATCCATCCCTAACCCTCAAGGAGTGTACACTTTAAGGTCCCTAACTCACATTCATACAGACACATACTATAGCCAATTTAGACAGGAGCCAATTAACCTACCAGCATGTCTTTGTGGTGTGGGAGGAAACTGGAGATCCCGAAGGAAACTCACGCAGGCACAGGGAGAAAATGGTTGGGATTCAAACCAACGACTCTAGTACTTCCAGGCGGAAGTGCTAACCATTTAGTCACTGTGCTGCCCATTCAGACTTAACTAAATTTGAGACATTGAAGCTAATTTACTAAATTAATTGTGTGAAAATTAACTTAAATTATCCAATCATGTAAAAAGCAAATCCCTCTTTACTTATTTCATCTGTGCATGACTGGAAAACTGAAGTTATTAGTCACACAATTTATTGGGTGGAGATTCTCAATTCCTTTAGTAAATCAGCCTAATTATATTCTAGCACAGGTTGGCCTATACATTTTGTCTCCTTAAACTATACAGTTTTATAGTGGGGCAGTTTTTAAACAACCCCTTAACTTTGGAAATGGTGCAAGAAATTGGAACAGGTCTACCTCTGACCTCCCACCCAAGCCAAAATCATGTTGATACTTACTTGATTTGTACATTTTAGACTTCAGAAACATATTTGGAGATTATATTTCTCTGTCACTCTGCTCCCTCCTCCTATTAGCATGATCCCTTGCAATGCAAAACACTTGACTGATTCCTTGTGCTGTTTCTCCACCCCTCCCTGCTGTACAAACTGTCAGAGGCCGATACCAAGTGGGTATCATGCGCATACACTGCTTTTGGAAAAAAAAAAAATTAATTGAATAATGTATTAATGATTACAGAGCTGCATATACATTTGCTTATTACATCTTGGAGTTCAGCTTTAACACATTTTTAATGAAAATCAATGTTATTGGCAGCTAGTGTCAACGAAATTCTTCATAAACCTATAGATTAAAATAACAATGGCACATCCTGAGTTATGATATATTGAGTTTAATGACAGTAGCTTTGTCTGACTGGTCTTTCTTTAGTAATTTCATTTATTTCCTTTATTCCTCATGATGCAATAGTTACCGTTAACAAGCCCATGAATTCAGCCACACATGACTTTGATGCAGGCCAGAAACTCACCTGGTATGCAAAGCAATTTCCGTGTTGGCTAGCATTCAGTGATCATTAGGAAGTGTATATTTTAATCTTCCTCATATGTAAATAGAAGTTCATTGCTCTGAAAATTACACACCTCCTCCTTTTTCATGGCAATAACAAATCTTCCTGATGGTTTCCCAGAATAATAGCTTTCAGCCGCTGTGCCTTGAGAACGAAAAATGCAGTTGAGAAAACAAGGAAGTTTTGATCAAATATATCTTATTACAGGACTCATACGGCTCATTTCACAAACTATATTTCTCCTGTTCAACTGCCTTTTCTTGGTATTGCTCCTTACATAGCTCATCTCTCTAAAGGCTGTGCTGGAAATATAAGAGGAGCTGAGGTTCTGAATGCCATGTTATAAAAAAAACACGCACAGAAATTCATAAAAATTCATCAAGGCATAAAATGAAAAATGAAATGTTATACAGGGAACTTGGACATACTGAAAAAAGAAAAGCTGTGACGCATAGCAAATTGTGGCAAACGATCAGGAGTCGTAGCCTCAAGAGGCATGGTTAACCTCCCTAGCCGTCTGATTATGTCAATATTTCTGTCCTCAAAGCGGTACTTTTTTTTTGCATGGAAATATGTTGTTTTTTTTATTGTAGGCCTGTAATTTTTAAATCTGTCTGAACAAGAGTCTAGGAAACATCCCGGGTATGTTAAAATTTGAAACACAAAATCATAAATTATAATTTAATAAATAATCATAAAAAATATTAATATTATAATAATAATAAATGTAATTCAATAATATAATCAAACCAAAAACACTGAAATTTGAAATATAGCGCCAAGTTCTCACATCACTGAGCAAAGTCGCAAAATTGTTTTCAGTGTCTGATGATGAAATTTCCCCACAAATCATTATCACTCAATTCTGCAAGTGGTTCTGATTTACTATCATATAAACACTGGTGAAGCGCTTCACCAGTGTTTATATGATTGTTTTTTACCTTATGAAGTCAGGTTAGGTGATAGTAGCTCTCTTGTAGTTCTCTCCATTTAAGCGCAGGAGGTTCTATCCACTTCTAATTTACTATCACTGTCCTCTAGCTGGTCTAAAACCACTTTTGACCTAA